TCGATGTATATTAGTGCCCTATCAGTTATGACTTAAAGGTAATACAAAGTTTCGGTATGGGGTCATGAATTGGTTCAAATGAACATATTGGAAGCATTATGCGATCCTACAATATTCAGTGATCGTTGTCGCGGTCGGAATCGAGTCTAAAGTTATGAAATTATGAATAATAAACTCTTTATGTTGTATAGCTCCCTCTCAAGGTTAAGATATTAAATAGGCTATAAACAATGTTTCTTGACTAAAATAGACCGATTAGCTATTCCCGTTTGGAAATTACATATCACAATTACATATTCTGAGATTTTCATGGTCGCAGCTACTTTTGTACGGCCGTAGGAGTTATTTGAAATTTATCAAAATTTACCGGGAGCACCGGTAAATTTTTATATTCAATTTTTATCGAAAGCAGAAGTGTTTTAGAGGCTACTGAAATTTTCTATTGCTTATAATACATCCACAGGGGCATCCAAATAATATCAAAATTGTAAAGAATCACTATTCACCCAATTTTCGTAATTTCCCAAAACGTTGTAATACCTTTAAGGTCGTATTATAGGTCCCTAGCTGATAAGCATAATAGCATACACATGCAAAACAAAACAAAACACTCGCAACTTATCATTCAATAAAATGTATACTTATTATTTAGATCTATTAGGAATAAATCATTGTCAAAATAATTCCATAAATTGGGGTAAAAAAAATTATTCCACCTTTATGACCAACGTACAGTGTATATGGAGAGAGAGCGCACGCGGAAAAAGAGAGGAGAAAGAAAAACAAAGAAATGGAGAGAATGACCGAGAGACAAGAGAGCAAGAGGGACGGAGATGAGAGAGAGAGAGAGAGAGAGAGAGAGAGTGATAGAGAGAGAGAGAGAGAGAGAGAGGATATAAAGTGAAAAGGATGGAGTAAAGCAGACAGAGAGAGAGAAACAAAGAAATAGAGAGCAAGTGAGAAATCGAGAGAGAGAGAGAGAGAGAGAGAGAGAGAGGGAGAGAGAGAGGAGAGAGGAGGATAAAGAGAAAAGAGGGAAGGGCATGAGAAAGAGAGAGAGAGAGAAAGAGAGAGTTTTTATAGAGGGGATAAAAAGTGAGAGATATATAAAGAGAGATCGAGAAAAAATAAGGGCAACATTCGCGTCAAAATACGTGGATTTCGTCGTGAATTTCGTTGCGAATTTCGTCGTGAATTTGTTTGCGATTTCACAATTTGCGATAAAATTATTATCGATGTGTATAAAACGTCAGCGGCAGAGGCGGCCCTCCGAGGGGGGCAGGGGGTACAGTGCTTCCCACTTTTTCAAGTACTGCCCCTCTTTACATACGAAAAGTGCCCCATTAAATTTGTAAGAAGTCTCCCTTTTTACATGGGAAAAGTGTCACTGAAAAGTCAGTGCTCCTATTCCATTATAAAAATGCCCCTCCCCCTTTTCATTATGATAAGTGCCCCCTTTTTGACACGTGCCCCTTTTCCTTCGATTTTTTTTCCTTTTTTCCTTTCCAATAATTGTCATTTTTTTTCAATTCTCATAAGTGCTTTTATTAATCTCTAGTAAGTACCCTGTTTCGGGTACGTGAAGTGCCCCTTTTCAGTTTTGATTAGTGCCCCCTTTACCTCTGATAATTTACCTTGTCAAATCTAAGAGATGCCCCTTTCCGTTTTTAATAAGTGCCCCTTTTTAACTCAGATAAGCGCACCTTTAGTTTTAACATGTGCCCTTTTTCCTTTCTAAGAAATGCCCCTTTTCGTTATTATGCCCCCATTAAAAAAAGAGCGTATTCCCCTTCTCACAAATATCCATTTTTTAACTATTAAAAAGGGCCCCTTCCCCTTCCCATAAGTGCCCCTTTTCATCTCTGGTAAATGACCCTTTTTAGGTACGAGAAAGTACTCCTTTTCACTTTTCTCATAAAAGCGCCCTTACACATCCGATAAATCCTGGCGACATCGTCAGAAACCAGATAGACTATTATTGCCATAAATAGTAGATTTAAAAGAGCAGTGAAACAATCAAAAACATATCCAGGGGCTGACTGCGGGAGTGATCATGTGCCGGTGATATGTACACTTCAGTGCAAATTAAAGAAACTCAAGAGACCAAAAGTGAAAATACTGGATTTTAAACAGTTGAGTAAACCGGACATAGTTTACGTCAAGAAATTTACTGTACAAGTAAAGAATAGGTTTGAGTTGCTCATAGATGAAGGTGAAGATAACACGTGGGAGAAATATTCTGGTAGAAACAGCGGAAGAGTATGTGCCGATAAAAGAGAGAAAAAGAAGGAACAAATGGATGACAGAGGAGATTCTTTTAATGATGAAAGATAGACAGAAAATTGGAAATAGACAATGCAAGAAATATATAGGAGCCTAGAAAAACATAGGCAAAAGTGTAATGAGGCAAAAGAGAGCTGGCTAAACGAACAATGTGCAGAAATTGAAAATCAATTCGATAAGAATAGGAATGTTTACCAAATATTAAATTAAATTTCAGGTAAAAAGTCTGGTTGTTCAAACCCTGGCTGTATCAATTAAAGGAAAAGATGGGTCTATCCTGTTTGAAATGAAGGACAAAATAAGAAGGTGGACGCAATATATTGGCGAACTTTTTGAAGATATTAGGAAGCAATGCCGAGTTTTGCAGAGGAAGTCAAAGGGGAGAAAATTCTTAGATCTGAAGTCCGTTGGGCAATGTCAAAGATGAAGAAGAACAAAGCAGCTGGACCAAATGATGTGGTCACTGAAATGTTTGAAGCCTTAGAGGAATATGGTGTTGATAGATTAACATAAATTATAAACAAAATAATGACGGAACATTTCCAGATGAATTGGGCAGATCCATTTTCATTACTCTCCCAAAGAAACCGGGAGCCATAGAATGTGAGCAATATAGGACAATCAGCCTTATTTGCCATATCACTAAGACTATTTTGAGGATTTTGCTTTAGAGAGCAAGAAGTAGAATAACCCCTATGGTCGGAAGGGAACAATTTGGTTTTGTAAAGGATGCGGGCACAAGAAATGCAATATTTGTGGTTCGAAATATAACGGAGAGAGCAGTCGAAATGCAAAAGGATGTGTACATGTGTTTTATTGATTATTCAAAGGCTTTTGATAAAGACTAGTAAAACATTCAGAACTTTTTGAAAAACAGAAAAAGCTTGCTATATATATAAAAAAAAAAAAAAAAATCTAAGACTGCTACTGCATGCATCAGGGTAGAAGGAGAGTGTAGTGAATATATTAACATCAGACGGGGAGTCAGACAATTATGTCGCCGGACCTGTTGTATAGTGAAGTCATTCTAAGAGAATTGGAGGATGAAAATGGGATATTAGTGGGTGGCCATTCAATCACAAATATTAGATATGCTGATGACACTGTTTTATTTTCTGAATCAGAGAACGATCTCCAGAGACTCCTGAATGTAGTTGTAAAAGAAAGTGAGAGAATGGGCTATAGAGATCAACCATAGTAAGACAAAGTGGCTGGTGGTCTCCAAGAAGAGCAGTCCAAAATGTAACTTGAAACTGAAAAAACTACCTCGGCAGCATGATCACCGAGGATGCCAGATGTGAGACAGAGATCAAGAGCAGGATAGCTCTCGCTAAATCTGCATTTTCAAAGTTAGGCAAAATTCTGACAAATCGAACAATGAGTATGAGGACCAGAATAATAGTATTGAAGTGTTACATCTATATACCCAGTACTTATGTATGGTAATGAAAAATGGACTTTAGCCTCTGATACTAAAAAGCGTTTGGAAAGTTTCGAAATGTGGTTTAAAAAGAATGATGAAAATCCCCTGGACTGACAAAGTTAGTAATGAGGAAGTTCTTACACGAGCTGGAGTGCAAAGGAAAATGATACGTGAGATGTTGATTAGGCAGTTGAAGTTCATGGGTCACATTACACGTAAAGAAGGCCTAGAGAATCTTGACAGGGAAAATTATGGGAAGAAGGAGTAGGGGGAGCTAGGAGGAGGATACTTTGGATGGACAGTCTGCAGAAATTGTTGGAAGAGTGAAAGAACTGCATGGGAGTGGTACTAATACAGAAGGCTAGGAGCCGAGGGGTGTGGAACAGCCTAATCGCCAAAATCAAACGATATGGCACTTAAAGAGAAAGAGAGAAGTGCCCCCATTAAAAAAAACAAGAGCGCCTTAATCCCTTCTCACAAATACCCCTTTTTTTTAACTATTAAAAAAGAGCCCCTTCCCATAAGTGCCCCTTTTCATCTATGGTGGGTGCGGGGGCGTCGCTAACCTTTTTCAATGGGGGTGGGGGTGGGGGAGGTCTAGAGGCCACGGATTACCGACAAAAGTAGCTACCAATCAATGCCAATATCCCAAAGCTACAAATTTAACCCTAGAAACTTGGGGTCATCTTGAAAAATATCCCCGACTGTCAGGGAAAATGTACCGAGCGGCCATTTTGAGCGGCCATTTTGAAAGAAAAAAAAATAATAAGAGGGCCTCCTCCTTCCTATTTTTCGAAAAAACAGGACGCTCAACATGTTTTTTTTTTAAATTTGTCCTAATACCATTTTTACTTTGACACGTGCTCATTTTCTTTTCTAATAGTGTCTTCATTTTTCCCTTTCGATAAGTGTCCCCTTTTCCTCATATCATTAAACGTCCCCCTAATTTGAAGCGACTAAGAGCAATTTATATGAATAAAACAAATTGAAAATGAAATTATAATTTCATTTTCAATATTCTTCATCATTTCTTTACACTTTCTCTTACTTGTAGTAGAATCCTATATGGGACGAGATTGATTCTGTAACCTCGTCTCCAAAAAAAAAAAAATTGTGAGTTTTTTTAATATCCAAGCTAGGCCCATTTAATTAAAAATTAAATTAATAAATAGTATTAAATCAAAGAAATAATGGTAAATCATGTTTGAAAGCGAAAAAATGTATACAGATATTTTTGAGAAAAAAAATCAATCCCAACTAGAAAAGTAGACACTTTCTAGTCTAGATAGAATTCAAAATTGTGTATGTAAAGATATTAAGGTACTAGGTTGCGAATTTTACCCTGGATTTAATTGTCAAGATGGCGGATGGCGTGGACATCGACTTGTACGCCGACGATGTTGATCAGGAATTTAGCCAGGTCTGTATGCCCTGTAGTGAGGTAGAAATGAAGGATAGATAAGAGAGAATGTTAGAGAGCATTTTATGATTGGATATGAGTAAGAGAGTGTGTCCTAATTTCAGTAATAATGCCATGATTGTGAGTCCCATTCCCAACAGTAGAGAGGCTAGCGTTATGTCTCATGAGCGTGTGCGTGTGCATTACGGTAGTTACGGTACTTGCTGCATGTACGTATACAAATAGGGTGTCTGATCGCGCACCCGATGTTGTGTGCTAAAATCTTTCCCATAGAGATTGCACGCATCCCTATGTATGTGGTCTACGTGCATTGCGCGATCATCCAAAATTGGTCAATGATTTTATGAACAAATTGAAATTCAAACCTTTATCGCTCGTGATCCTGAAGGTGAACTCAATAAATGAGGTGTCATAACACATATGAAAGAGCAGGTAGTTTGACGCTTGTTCAGAAACCTATCCAAAATTTGAATTGAAATCCGGCGTGGAGACCCTACTAAAACATAGAGTAAAGGAGCCCGTAATCGGCCAGCTCCCGTTTTCGGCCGATTGGTTGGATACAAGGTAAAATCACTCTAAAATACATCGCATAATAGCATAACACATATCCCACACATACCATACCATGCCAGTGTCACTGAAGAACCACATTTGCAATGGAAAATATATCCTAAAATATCACATTTTAGCGATGTAATCGCCGGTCCCGCTACCCAAATCTGAAAAATCGAGTATCTTACGCGTGTCTGTAAGAAATATGGGTACCATAAAATGAGCTTTATTTCAAGTATTTTTCAGATTTAAAGCCCGATTTTGTGCTAGTCGCAAGCTCAAAAGTATGTCATCGCATGTATTAAATCAATGCAGCCGCACACCGCGACGCACACACGATATCTCTATCTAATTCAGATTCCAACTACCGATCACCGCTGTGCCCGTCTTCGGCCAGGCGAGCACCAGGGAGCTCCGGCGTGGGATACCTGCTCCGCCCGCTTGTGCTGTACATCAGCGCGGAAACGCACGGCGCGCGCGAGCGCTTCCTATTGACTTTGTACATGCGGCCGTAAACTGAAACGCTCGGCCGATAACGGGCTCCAAAACAGTGAAAATTGAAATGGATATTGTCATGGCAATTCGTGATTTTTTTCTGGGATTCTTTTTTTGTGTAAATAATAATAATATTTGCTTCATGATTTGAACAAGAAATGATAATAAATAGGAAGTAAAGAGTCCTAAAAATAGGATTTTGTCTTAAGTGGCCGAAAACGGGCTACTTTACTCTACCCAAAATGAAGTAAATATTCATTAAATGTCCAAATAAAGATCATGAGTTAAAAGTCGTTATGTTTATTACCTCAGTTTCGTGTCGATTTTCTTGTTATTTTCGGAGTATTTTTCGGAAAAACATTGAAATTAGTAGGGTGTCTGAACGATTTTTCAATTTTCAATTTGGGATTGTTTTTCACCATTTTTGTTTGATATTTGAATTAAAAATGTAATCAGAACAATACCTTTCAAATTTCAAGTCTCACCGATGTTTCTATCAAAAGATACAGCCCCTCCGAAACGCTGGAATATTCATAGCATTTTGATCAGAATCGACGAAAAAGACGTACACGCAGAGTTATGTTGTTTTGCTAAATTTAGCCACACAGCTGTATCGCGCGATATGCAAGCGTAGGCACAGTGTACGCTAGACCGAATTTTCCGTCTCTTTCGTTCGTTAGCCTCTTATTGGGGTAGGGTCGGCCGGCTCTCTCTTTAGAGACGGAAACCGTCTATACACATTCCCTTGATAACGCCACGGCCATTTCAGGTCGTAGCGTTTTGCCCCCACAATCCCCCAAAATGTCATTTTACCTCATGCATTGATTATTTAAAATTAGGAGAAGGTTATACTACATCGGTTCCACTTACCAACTTGACTGAAATAATCCGTTTAATGGTCCCTTTTAAGGAAATTATGGGTCAAAATCGACATCCATGTTGAAATCTTGTAAGCCGTGTTAAACTCTCGCTGCGCACGGAGTCATCTAAATCAATCTCATCCAGGGCTCAAATTAATTTTTTGTCCACGGGGGCTCTTCCCCCGAAAAAAGAGCCCCCGTGAGCCTTCTCACGGGGGCTCTTTTATTACTGACGGGGGCTCTTTTTTATACAAATATCCATTTAATTGGTACCTATGATACTCCTCAATTATTTGCTATTTCATCATTATCATTTCAATCAGCATTTTCCCTCTTACAAATTTACAAGCTACATAGCTGTTACTGGCCTGTGTATATAATATATACGCATACAACACTGATCTTTATGATGTCTTTAACGTGACATATCTTCTTCTCCCCTTGCAAACGAAAAAGAAAACATGGTCATTAAAAGGGATTAAGCGACAAATAATGATTGTGATTCAAATTGATGCGAATATTTGTTTGAATAAGCACTGCTATTCACCCGAATCTTCTTTATAAAAACAACTTTTACAAATCTCAGCCATGCTTACTGAGTTGAGACGTTCCATTCAATTTAAAATACCCATTACATAATACACTTCTCCTAATCTCAAAGTGATCTTACAGCACAGTGGCAAAATTGCATGGCTGAGATTTGTAAAAGTCGTTTTTACAAAGAAGATTCTGGTGAAAAGCATTGCTTATTCAAAAAAATCCTTGCACAATTTGAATCACAATGATTATTTGTCGCATGGTCCTTTTATTAAATAACCTTGTTTTCTGTTTTGTTTGCAGAGGGAGAAGAAGCTATGTCACGTTAAGAAATCATAAAGATCAGTTGTATTGTGCGTATATACATATGATACCAGAACAAAATGTTGATTATCAGAATGTCATTTTGGAATACCTCTATACAAATACCACATTGTCTTTAGTCCGTATCAGTATTAGTATGATCCATTATAAAGCTATTATTCTTTATTTAATTCAGTATAATGCTTTTCCTCAAAAATAGTTTTGCTATTTTTTTAGGGTCGAGACGCTAAGAAATGGTTTCAAATGTACATTACACGAACCCTGAACCATTGCAAAATGATGGTGGTTCTCTCTCTCTCTCTCTCTCTCTCTCTCTCTCTTTATTTTAATTATGCATTATCAACTACATATAAAGCAGCAACCAAAAACTTAGGGTTATCTGAGATAGGTGAAAGTAAGAGTTAAAAAGAAAGTCATGCTAAAACGGCGCTTCACTTCCCACCGCCCCCTGAAAAAAATAAAATAGATTAGTAGTCCTCCTCTCCAGAATCCACCTCCCCCCCCCCCCCCCCGCTTTAATATCACATTTTCACTTGGCAGCCCAAGGGGGCCGGGGATGGTAGGAGGGGGTTAAACCCCCTACCCCCCCCCCCCCCTGCCGTAGATCTGCCCATGTTACCATATCATTCCACGACATTTTGGTCTTCCTCTTCTCCTCAAAAGGGACTTTTAGATTTGCGTGGACGTGGACGTGGACGTACGTGTTACGTCCTTTTAAGGCACTGGCAATCACATGTGACGTCCTTAGAAGGAGGTCACACGTTGCAGTCCACGTTCTCATCGTGCAAATCTAAAAGTCCATAATATTGATTTACTGGTCGAGGTCATTATTTGCTGACAACGAAAAACTTCTCAAGGCCATGACCATATGTTTCTGCCCTTGCCCGATCGCCTCCAGCTCCAGCAGATAGACATGGCGCGGCAGCGTGCGCACGCACCGCTACTAACGGCGCAGTAGGCCTATAACCACTGCTGACGGCGGCACTGCACTGCGAGCTGAATCTTGCACGCCTATAATCTTAGTTCCATTTCATTGGTTTAAGGTTTGAAAATTGAAACTCAATATTGTGTTAAAGCTATTACAGAAAAGATTATCTTTATTTTATAATTCCACCGGGGCGATTTTTAATTTTGCAATCGCCCCCGTGAGCAACCTGACGGGGGCGATTTTGTATCTCACGGGGGCGAATCGCCCACCGCCCCCGTGTATTTTGAGCGCTGATCTCATCCCTTCTAGTCTACGCCGAAGGCAAAACGATTATGAAGGAAAAACTGTGCGCCATCTACACGTTCGTAATGGCGTTATCACAGTTTTTCCTTCATAATCGTTTTGCCTTCGGCGTAGACTAGAAGGGATGAGATTGATTTAGATGACTCCGTGCGCAGCGAGAGTTTAACACGCAGGGAATAATTTTCCTCAAATTTTTTGATTAGCAATTTCAGGCGATGTATAAATATTTCAAATGAAATTCTGTACATTTCTATGGAAGAAAACTGCTACACAAAAGATATTTTGTATAGCAGTCATGCAAAAATGCATAGCAAATTGCGATGCGATACCAGGAAAATTATTCCCTGACACGGCTTGCAAGATTTCAACATGGATGTCGATTTTGACCCATAATTTCCTTAAAAGGGACCATTAAACGGATTATTTCAGTCAAGTTGGTAAGTGGAACCGATGTAGTATAACCTTCTCCTAATTTTAAATAATCAATGCATGAGGTAAAATGACATTTTGGGGGATTTTGGGGGCAAAACGCTACGACCTGAAATGGCCGTGGCGTTATCAAGGGAATGTGTATAGACGGTTTCCGTCTCTAAAGAGAGAGCCAACCCCTACCCCAATAAGAGGTAACGAACGAAAGAGACGGAAAATTCGGTCTAAGCGTACGCATGTCATGCACAACTTGCAGCTTGAGCCACACTGTCTCTGTGACATGTGCCATTGACTAGTATGGCTAGCCGTTCGTCGCACAATAAACCCGGAAGTGAATACACGTTATACTCAATGGCAATATCGAGGAGACAACGTGCACGTTGTCTCCTCGAACGGCTATCCATACTTTCATTCACTATACACGCAGATGTTACGCAATGTAACAATGGTTTAGACTGAGCGGAGCTCACGCCTCCCTAATTAGCTGATCCGAAAAATGTGGAGAAGGGTATTTTCAAACTGTAATCAGCTGTGATCCCTGGCGGCTAGCCAAAAAATAGGCGCATAGATATATTCCTTAGGACTGGGACTACTTATCGATCGGGGCATCATATCTCAAAAGTGACAAACCTCAGAGTTAGCCAGGACACAATGTTTAAATTGCTGTTTTGACCAAGATATTTTTAGAATTTCGGGGGTGACCCCCCTTCGGAAATATTGGAATTCACCTGCTCTTTCATATGACACCTCATTTATTGAGTATCACCTTCAGGATCACAACAGATAAAGGTTTGAATCTTGAATTGAAAAAAAAAACTTGACTTTTTTTGCATGGTCGCGCAATGCACGTTGACTGCATAGGGATGCGTGTAATCTCTATAGGAAGAATTTTAGCACACAACATCGGGTGCGCGATCAGACACCCTAATATTAGTATACACTTTTTCACAGGTTTCACGGCAATCTGCTCCACAATACAAGTGCATTCCGATAGTGGGTTGCGGGCAGGCGCACGCCTGTGTGAAGTTATCTACCGTAATGAGGATCTGAGACATTACGGTGCCATTATTATAAGTAACTTTTAGCTTTTAAAAGAAGCATGCAGTGTTTAAAATAAGAGGAAAATATGTATTTTGTCTTTAAAAAAATCATTCGATCGGTATGTTGTCAAGAAGAATTTTTTAGAAAGCAGTTTTATTATTCAAACATTAATGTTTTTTGGACCCGACTTATTCATCCTGCATGAATCAAAATGGCGGCTCGAATGTTGTCTTTCGATTTTTGCCCCAGTTTTTAAAACTTTTAGAGACATGATAATGGCACTAAAACATCGCCAATCATGGATGAAAATAATGTCAAATGGGAGAATATACCAATCTGAGCCGAGGTACGCATGTGTTGATTTATTGGACTGATAAAAAAGGTCATTTTTAAGGGACATACTGATGACATGCGCTATTTATAGAGGCAAGTGGCAGATCCTGCTATCTGAATTCGGGACACAGGGTCCCGATTGGTTCAAGGCCGACAGGACCCCGTTTATAAAAGTCCCGACATGACTCTGGCCTAAATATAACATTTCATAATATTTTTTTTTCAAATCACCACAAACTCTGGCCTTCCCAATTTAATATTTGTATTCCTTGTTTGTTTGATTTTGTATGTCTGTTTGTGTAGGAGGCAGAGCAGTACAACTCAAGCTCAGGCGGTGTGGACCTCTATGATGATGTCATAACAGCACCTTCAGATGGCGGTGGCGGTAAGCCTCAAAATGTAAGTTTGAAACCGATCAGCATGTGTGTTGTGAATTCATGTGTTGCTCAGCTATGGGTTGGACTCTGCACCTGGGATACAAGTTTCATTTTCTTCCAGGGAATTTTTCTTTCATATTCTTTTGGTCGCCACTCGGACTCGGGAAATGATAAATGGGGTTTGTATGGGAAATATACAACAGAAAATGAGGCCCTTATGATGATTTTTATTTTCATTTTATTTTCATTTTTTCAGAAAAAGATCATTTTAGCAGTATGTTTTTTTTTTTTTTTCTTCATTTAACAACAAGGGACAAAAGGAACAAGCAGGGATGCCAAACGTGATTTGTTTTAAATTTTGCCTTACTGCACTTGTAAATATGTATGTTAAAAAATACAATTATCAACCCTGATCAATCCTGACTTAAAAGGCTGATGCAGTCATCTGCAGTGTATGGGAAACAGCAGGTGGACATTAACAAATGTAGCTGCATGCACTAAAACGTCCTACGTGCCCTCACTTCACTTATCTGTGTGTTGTAAAACACAGGAATGTAAATTGCAATTAGTTTAACCTGAGCGCTTTACCGTGGCGTATGTGAACGAGTCTTAACAGTGTTCTCTCTCCCTCTCTCTCTCTTTCTCATTCTCTCTCTCTTTGTAAGCAGGTGTCTGGGGGTGGCGATGCTTCTAAAGCTCGTCGTCATTCCAGTGATCAGCATAACTCCAATCAGCCGTCCTACTCGGGCAAGAGAGTCTCCCTCTATGTTGGCAATCTTACATGGGTGAGTCATAATCCTCAACATTTATTTCTTACCCAGGGATGTCGATTGTCCTGGCTTTTGCCTGAATTAAGGCCATGTTATCTCTCCGTTCCAGGCTTCATATTGGAGGTCAATTCCAACGTTACAGAGAAACATTTCCAGACAATTTTAAATTTTGAAAAAAGAATGTTATAGCAATTTGAAGAAAATCTACAAAGGAATGATATGTGATTGAATATGAGTTGCTAGCACAACAAGTCAGTTTCCTATGAACCATTCATCAAATTTATGAAAAATTGAGTTTTCACTAACTTTCTAACAGAATGACCGAAAATGGGCCTTGAGTATTATTCTGAAATAACCTACATGTATATAATTCTTTTAAAGGAAGTGTTTAGGTTGCTGGGGTTATTACCATTTCTTGTACTGTTTATTATTTAGTTGTTCAACAGTGCAGTTTCATGACCCTAGGCCAACTGGCCACTGCTTCTGTTTAGACTGGCTTCCAGATATTGTTTAGTTTATGCGACTTCATCTTAAAGTAACTCTGTAAAATTGCCTCAGGTTCTGAAACAAAATCCTGGATTTAGCTCATGCTGCAATCATAATTATAAACCTTTAGGTCAGTCAGGAATCCCATGACTCTTACAAGCCGATCGCCTGGCTAATTATCAAGATATTTATGATTGGAAATCAAAATTTGATTTTTGTTTTCCTTACGGTTTTACAAGCCGATCGCCTAGCTAATTATCCAGATATTTATGATTGGAAATCAAAATTTGATTTTTGTTTTCCTTACGGTTTTTATAACACTTCAGTCTATTGGGGAAAATGAATATGGTAAAACTGGTCACTAAAGGATTTTTACTTTTTTGAGGCACTTCATGATCATTTTGAAGCGCAATTTTTTTTAGGGCTTCAATATTACACCATACCACAGGCACTGATAACACGTAGGGCCGTGTATATCAGATTTCAGATTGTTAAACGATGCCTTTAAACTCTTGTTTGCAGTGGACCACGGACATGGACCTGAAGCAGGCCGTCAATGAGCTGGGTGTGAAGGACCTGCATGAAATCAAGTTCTTTGAGAATCGAGCCAATGGCCAATCCAAGGGGTTTGCAGCTGTACATGTGAGCTCAGACAACTCATACAGGCTCCTCATGCACAACCTAGGAAAGAAGTAAGCTCTAGCATCTTTCTACTCCTCCATATGTTTATGCACATTAAAGGGACTTGGTAACATTGTTCAGATGAGAGATAGTGGTGCTAAGGTAGTGACTTCAATGCTAGATGTACAATTAAAGATAATCTGAATATTTGAGTGAAAACGGACCATTATTCATGGTACAAATTGAGAAAAACTGATCTGATCGATTCCTTAATTCTCCCAACTATATTATTACAATTTAATTACATTTTAGGTGAATGGAAATCGTTACAAAGCAATAAAATGGCTCTACATTCCATTCCAGACATTTAAGTGTTGACAGATTTTTTATAGCCTGTTTTATGTCTTTTTTTCATGGAAAAACGGTTGGGAAAATTCAAAAATGGTTGGGAGAATTTACCGTTAGAGGGTGTCATACATCGACTCCTTCAAAGAAAACCATAGATATCTTTGTGGTTTGAGAATTTGTTCAGGATTTTTTGCATGTCAGAGGTTAGTACAGTAGCAGGAATATAGTAAGTAACATTTTATACAAAAATTAAGCAATTTTTTTCATCAACCTTCGACAATGTTACCAAGTCACTTTAACAAGACAAATTCCTGTTGATATGAGCCATGAATACATTGCATTGAATTTGAAGCCTTACAGACATAGAAGGTTAACAACAAATGTCATAGGGCAAATCAAAGGTATTTGGTCAATTGCTGCCCCATATGTTTCCAAGTACTTAAGGAGTTCTGAACTCAAATTAACATCATAAGTGTCATTATACATCATATTTAGATTTTAGACAGCTCCAAGTTCTAGAAGGGCCGTAACCTGTTATAATCATGATCAATATACTAAAATCCTAGTTAAGATGAACTTTGAGTTCTGGTAAATATAGAAAATAAATTCTCACAGAATCCAACTTACACTAAATGTTCGAGATTACAAATAAATGACATGTGCCAAACAATTTTGGTAGAAAATGTATAGTGGCTGAGTAATGAGCATAGAAAGATAAGGAAATCCGGGTAAGTAGGCCCAGACACCATGTGCTTAACGCAGGTTACTATGTGCAAATGGGTGTTGTGGTTTTTCGAAGATGATGTCTGGTAAGTTTCTGTGCTGGTTCAAACAACCAATCTACTGCAGGATTAAACAATCCAGAGTGAAACATAGCAATTTTCTCTCAAAACATGATTCCCATACCAGAGCTCAAGATTAGCTATAAGAGTTTTAGAGGGGATTTTTGCCAGTAGATCCTTGCTTGTATGGAGACTTGGTGGATGTGTACAAGAGCTTGATTTGTTCATATCATATGAAGTGTTCATGTAATGCTTTTTATAACTCTAAAATATTATTTGTTATTATGCCTTTACCAGTTATACAATGTTCTAAAGATAATGGAGTTGGTGTGTATCAAATCATATCCAAAAGGTTAAGAAATTAATATGAATCTAATCCATAATGTTTTGTCTTTACACAGAGAAATTCATGGCCAGCTTCCAATGGTCACTCAGTACAATAAACAGAACTTTGGCCAGTTTGACCAAGCTTCTAAGAAAGGTAAGAAGAAATCTCTGGTCCGTATTCTACTAATTCAATTAAACCAACCCAGGGTATAAAATCCTGTTTAATAAAAGAAAAACTTAAAGGCCGGCTGTACTAGTTCAGCCAGAAGGGATTAGACCACACAGCGAGGTCACTGACAGGTGGCTATCTCATTAGCTCAGCTCTCGATTAACATGAGAAAAAGAGGATCATGGGGTACCAACAGGCACTGATTGGGGAAGTTTTCTATATAGAGGGAGCAAGTAGCTACAAGAAGAACAGTGTGGCTTTAAGGTTAACTTCCTTTGTTAAACCTGATTGTGTCTAGCTCAAGTCCGGCTGGACACCGGGGCTCTTGCCTCTAACTGTCTTCAGAGATAAATGGCATTGCCAGGGTATTCAAGGGGATCCTTCACAAACAAGAGTAGTATGGTTAAAGACAGGAAATACCCTTCCACCCCCCCCCCCCCCCCATAGAAAAAATGAAAAATAAGCACTTTAAAAACAATGAAACAAACATTGTGTAAGGCATTCAAATAGCTAGGATTACAGAGCATATATGTAGGAAAAATATTTCAAGTGAAGGCATGTACACGGAAGTGAACTCGGGTTCAATTCCATGTATATGCTTGCACTTTTGCATGCATCAAATATTATACTCATTCTCACTTTTACTTCCATTTAGAGTACTTAAACTCTTTATCTCTGCACAAAAGTGATATTTGAAGTTCATGATTTGAACACAGTATACTTGCATGAAACCCTAAACATACAGAGCAAACTTTGCATTTTTATGATTGATGTCCTTTAAAAGGAGAGGGTCGTCATTTGCCAAGTGCAGAAAGCCATGATTCACTGACACCATACTTGGTGTGAAAATACCATTAATGTATGTACATGTACAGTCTACACACAGCAAACTCGTAGGCCTTTCATGAAATATCCCATCATCTTGGGAGAGTGTCTAATTATGATAATAATAATAGCTAGTTCTTATATAGCGCTTTTCAGGACCGAAGGCTCTCTCGAAGCGCTTTACAGATATATATATATTATTACCCAAGTCATCGGATTCAGGCTTACCCGCACACAATGTATGCACATTCTCCACTCCCTGGAGAGCATTCCAGTCTGGTGTCATTTTTACAAGCGCACACTTGCTAATGTAAGCACATAAGCTTTCGCATCCTATCGGGTACCCATTTAACACCTGGGTGGAGAGTGGCAAATGTAGATCAATGTCTTGCCAAAGGACATTAGTGCCGCTGTGGGACTTGAACCGTGGACCTCGTTATTCACAGTCTGGTGACATATCCACTCGTCCAAGACACCTCTAATGCGTCCTTTTAATCCTGACCTTATCTCTCCTCTCTCTCCTCTGCCCCGCCCCGCCCCAGCACAAGATAGCAGAGAACAGCGTCCAGAAGGCAGACCTAACAACCCAGGCCGAGAAGAACGCTTCAACCAACATAACAACAACTGGAGAGGTGGCGGTCAGTATTCAATTCTATTCAATTCAATTAATTTATTTCGCAATATAAAAATCAACAAAAGTATACAGAGTAACAGTAAATTTTAACTATTTTTACAAAGGTTATATGTAGGGCTTTTCATAAAGGTTGCAAAAACCTGTGAAGTTGGATCGCCTATTACAGAATGAAAAGCAAACAAAAAGAATGATAAAGGTTATAAGCACACAACAATAAATTAAGTAAAATAAGCAAAGTACAGACACTTCAACTGTCTATAAGACAGGAGAAAGTAAAATAACAAAAATACTAATAAAGGGGTAAAGGGGGGAAAGAGAACAACAATGAAAGTATGAATGGAGCTGACCAGATCTCTCTTGCAGGCCTCTCAGCACTTTTTCTCGTCAAATCCGTAGCTTTAATTAGTATAATGATAGAAACTAGGATGTCGTTAACAGCACTGGTATCCACTGGCTGAGGGTTTATGGCGCTTGCTCTAATCAGTTCGACCCCTCTGGGGCTCTGCCTGTGGTACTTTGTATACTTTACTTCAGAACAAAAGTGTGTTAGTGTACAGGCTTCACGCTAATTTACAGAAAAGATGGACATCCATCATGATAATTAGATGGGAAGTGCCAATTGTGATATGGATTTTCACGGATGATTTGTAAAGCTTTTAAAGAAATTAGAAATGACAAGAGTTTACTTCATAGGAAGCTAAAATATCCCCCCCCCCAAAAAAAAGAAGCCATTAAACAACAACACTCAAAAGAAATTGCTTGCTATTGCTTGGTATTGCTTGATGAAATTGTTATTAGAAATTCTACAGGGGCTAAGGAATGCTGAGAAAATGCTTTGAGATCTGCCGAGGTACCTGCAGAGTACGGACTTTTGATGATGTCATTTTATTTTGCAAAGTCAGGAAGATTCAGGCAATAGGCAATATTTTGTTCTGCTTCTCTTTTGTTTTCTAGCCCAAGGTGGACAAGGCGACGGTAGAGACAACCGTGATAATCGTGATAATCGTGATAATCGCGACAATCGCGATTTCCGCAACCGCGATGACCGTTTCCAAGATAGACGTGGTGGAAACTCTTTTGGAGGCCCTCCTAACAACCAGGGCCCGCCTCCTCCAAGATTCCAGAACCAGGGCCCACCTCAAGGACCGCCCCATATGAATCAGGGACCACCTCCTATGAACCAGGGACCACCTCCTATGAACCAGGGACCGCCTCCCATGAACCAGGGACCGCCTCCCATGAACCAAGGACCGCCTCCCATGAACCAAGGACCACCTCCAATGAACCAAGGACCTCCCATGAACCAAGGACCTCCAATGAACCAAGGACCTCCGATGAATCAGGGACCGCCTCCGATGAATCAGGGACCGCCTCCGATGAATCAAGGACCGCCTCCAATGAATCAAGGACCGCCTCCAATGAATCAGGGACCGCCCCCACCCATGAATCAAGGTCCTCCACCTATGAACCAGGTAAGAATGGAAAACATTATAAAAGATCTTGCCTGATTAATTGTTGATTCATATTGGACGACCTTTAAGAAAGTACATATCTCGGCCAATATCAATTCATGCATGTTGGATTCATTTTGTATCTGCCCTAGACTATAATCTCAAAAATCAATTTTTGTCTGAAAATTACAAATAATTCTGTATTTTTTCTGGTCCACTTGGTTTGAAATGGTTGGCCCAGCCTCAAAGGCAAGTGCGTTAGTGTCACCCTTGCTGTGTCGTCAACAATTATATCATAATTGTTATGATATGTTATGAGACAAGTTTGTTATATACAATATGCTTGCGGGTGCACCATGTGAGAGAGAGAGAGAGGGTTGAGGAGTCCTGGAAAGAACTCTGACTCCGTAATCTTTCTTGGGTGTGTAGTCCTGAAAAGGACTGTTTGTTATCTTTCTTAGCTTATAGTTCTAGCTTATGGTGCACCCGCAAGCCTACTGTATATCTACATCACCATGCAAGCCGACGCTTACAAACAGCATCTAAGTTTGTTAAAGTTATTTGATTTCCAATATTGATAAAAATCAGTATTTCATGGTATCAAACGTGATTTAAGAAGTTTGTGGTTAAAAAGTCTTAACAATATCAGAATTTGGGTGCCCAAGCCACTTACAAAGTCATGGAGTCGATCCAGACACTTCAAAGGTTCATGTTATAATGATTGAATGTATCTTCCATGTACTTGAGACTTGTGTGCCATACCCTGGTAGAGTTACTAAATTGATTTGATTGATTTTCTATCTTACAGGGTCCACAAGGTCCCCCACGGCAAGGACCACATCCTCAAGGTGAGTCAAGCTAACGAGAGAGAGGTTCATTCAACATTTGCTCCCTCTAAATGAGAGGTTCATTCAACATTTGCTCCCTCTAAATGAGAGGTTCATCCAACATTTGCTCCCTCTAAATTTGTTGCAAGCTCTATTCTATTATTATTGTATAAATTGCAGTTTTATGGATTAAGGTCTTCCTCTACTCTGGTTTCAAAACTACTTATCTAATCGTGTGCAATATGTTTTCTACAATAATGTTTTCTCTGAGCCCTTAAGTGTTTATGAGGTGTTCCCCAAGGATCTATCCTTGGCCCACTTTTATTTTTAAAATTTATTAATGATCTTCCAACTGTTCAAATAAGTTGAGATTGTTGATTGATTGCCAACGGCATACTATTTAAATACCAGCCCAGCTTTTGGTAAGACATTACTCCACATTTGCCACTGTCCATTTTGGTGTAAATGGGTACGTGATATGCAAGATCGCTCAAAATGTGGCCACTCGGCGATGATCTTGGTGATAATGTTAGGATGCCAGGAGAGATATGAGCTCTATACAAGAAGCTACCTCTATCATTATTTTCCAAGGATGTAGGGTTAGTGTAGGGTTGCAGTTGGGTTTGTGTTTTGGTTAGGTCTAGTGTGTGGTCCAGTGTTCAAGTTCGGAATTTGGCTAGTATAGGAAATTGAACGTGGAGCAAATGGTGTTGCTGGAGCATGTGTGATAGAGTGGAACAGATACCAAAATGCAAAGAAAATACAGTACATATAACCTTTTATAGTAGTCACTTTTCTGTACAGGCAACCTATCTAAAGTGGTCACCTGTATAGTCTTAATTTAGGAAGCAATTGAATATGTCCAGAAAAGCCATATATGTATATAGTGACCTCCTTTTCTATTTCCCAAGTGACCCGTACAGACAAGTGTAATGTAATATAAATAGTCAGAGAATGTCAGTGTACAAAAAACAGAGAATAGACAGAGAGAACGACAAGGGGAGTCTAGACGCACATTAAACAGACACATGGTGGTAAAGAATGCCCCCTTTGTTATGCCCTGTTACACATTTTCAATCAGCAATGCCAATCTTTTACCCAAGAAAAGGTTGTGTTGCTGCAATAGGTTTCCTCTCTGCAGTTTACCGTATCGTGTGCTCAAAGCTTAGATTGTAATGTGCACTGATTGATTTACAGGTCCACCACCACCCCGAGGTATGCCTCCACCCAACCAAGGTCCTCCTCCAATGCAGGGACCGCCCCGCCCAGGGGGACCTCCACCGCGCGGCCCTCCTCCAGGGGTAAGTTGGTCACCCATCTTCCAATTGAAAATTTGAGTAGTCTGAATGAGTTACATTAGAATATGAATGCCATGTTCATTAAGATTTAGTTTGAGAAAACGTCTTTTATTTTGCTGTAATCAAAGGCTGTGATATAGTTCGTCCAACTTGATATTAATCATGAAGTGGCCAGGTTATTCTTAGTGTTCTCTTAGCTGGAAGGGGATGGAACTCACCCCCTCCAGGTTTAACTCTCAGAATATCTGAAATAGCTCTGTGGTGCAAAAAAGAAACCAATATTTAAAAAACATGGCGAGAGATATTCTCATATCATACAGCAAATCCAGAAAGAGCTTCCGTCATCATATGAATAATTTTCTTCCACTGCTTGACTTGTATCACAGATGCCTCCTCCAGGTATGCAAGGACCTCCCCGTGGCCCACCACTACCAGGGGGTCCTAGAGGCCCCCCTCCACCAGGCATGCGTGGACCACCTCCCCCCAACATGGATAAAGGACCCCCTCCTATGGGTGTAAGTTACAAACATAATTGCGGCTGTTACTTAGTAAAGTTGAAACAGTTATTTTATGGTTATTTCTTATTTTTGTATGTCTTCATATTTATTCTTTATTTCATTTTTCGTCTATTTGTTTAATATTATTTAATTTGACCTTACAACCATGAGAGACAAACAGTCACTGGTGTGAGGTTTATTATCCCCTGCTCATCTTTTTAATTGGTACAAGGGTTTTGAAGTGATTATTCAAATTGCCCTGTTAGCAATTTTCTATCCATTTCAAGAACACTTGAAAGAAGTATCTTTTTATTTCTGACTTGCACCATAATCTTCTTTTGTATATATAAAATTATACTCCACATACTAAGAATCTTGCCCTAAGATTGGTCAAAACTAAATCATGTGATGAAAGATAGGTCGTCCATCATTGATGGGAGAAGAAAAGTTTGTTGCACTGTGTTGTATACGTTGCGTATGTACTGCGTATGTACTGCATGTACTGTACGTATCATACACTGTTTGCTAGCTGTTAGTTGATGGCTTGTTCCTCTAAAATGACGGAAGAAGTGAAATGTTTCTGATGTGGAATATAAAGCAAATAATCACCTTTTGGTTTCAGGCGATGGCAAACTATCACTCCCTCGGCTATCTTTCCGAAGCGAAACATCCAGATTGCCTCGGAAGTGATAGTTTGTCCCATCACCTTCACCAACGGTAATTATTTGCTTAATATAAGAAAAGAGAAGTAGTTCCAGACTTATGTTTTTTTGACATGCACCTTTCTCATTAAATGTTGTTTTCTTGACACTTGTTTGATGTGCAGCCACCAGGTGGACCTCCACGCATGCAGGGCCCTCCCCCACCCCACCCAGGTGGCCCGCCTCCACATCATGGTGGCCCTCCCCCACCCCATCAAGGCCCACCTCAACATCATGGAGGTCCTCCCCCTCCCCATCAAGGCCCGCCCCCACGTGGCCCCCCTCCTGGACCCGCTCCCAGACCAGGTAAGAAACCTTTATCACACTGGGCTTGATTACTGTTGAGGTATTATCAAAGTATTTGGTCCTTGCCATTCCAGACATTGTCAAGAATAAGGGAAAATAAACCAAAGAATGGCATTGCTATTGTCTTTTTCTTTATTTCATCCGATCCAATATCTAGTAGGGCTAACAACTTGATAGAACCATAGATACACTATAAACTTTGATGATGTTGGTAAATTTTAGTAGATAATGCTTCAGAAGTGCTGCTGTATAAACCACGCTGAACATAAAACTAGTGTATTTTGTATATTTGAAATGTTGAAAAAATCCCCCATGCTGCCCCCCCCCCCCCCCACCTCCATGTAGCCCACCTTCTATGGCCCGCCAAGTATGAATAGATATCATACTGACAATTCCTGATCTGTGTAGAAAGAAAACTGGTGTATGGTATCTTCAATGAAAGTGAAGTTAATATTTTGGAAATAATTATGTCATACATGAACCTTAGAATGAGATAAATTTTAAACACAAATTTACAAATATTCTTCAAGAAAGTCAAAATGTGGACAGGCATTCCAGATGAAAGTCTCCAAAAACACTTGTGGTGGAGACTTCTTATGTTATCAGGCCATTTCCATCAATTTAGACAAATTTCTTTTGCTAAGAATGGTAGAGTTGGCGTCTGATAATCATGTTTCAATTTTGTTTTGCCTTGAGGAGGACCCCCACCACCTCACATGAGTGGTCCACCTCTCCCCATGCCAGGCCCAGGTGGACCTCCTCCAAACAGAGGCCCGCCTCCTCCCATGCAGGGACCACCCCCTCCAATGCAAGGACCGCCTCCAAATCAAAACATGGTAAGAGTGTCAAAGTAAATACAGTCTAACCTGCTTTCAGCCTTGTTCAGATATGACGCAGCCAAACTGCGTTGTTGTTTTGTCTTTTTCCTTAAAAAAAAAAATTCATGATATAAAGTGTAATACGCTTCTCAATTCTGTATTTTATAACACAGATCTCAGTGAATACGTGAAGGATCTTGTAAACGATAATAACAAGAACAATAATGATAATAGTAATAATGACAACAATAATAATAATATAGAGAGTATTTATAATGCGCAAAATCAGCCTGAATATTGTGCTCAAGGCGTAAAAGAAGGTCTACGGGAAAGTAATTTTGCAAAGATGGAGTTTGAGATTTGAGGGCATTAGTTATCATATCACCATCTAAACTTTTGTCCATTTTGTTTTTGTTTTTTGTTTTGATGCAGATGCAGGGGCCTCCAAGAGGACCTCTTCCCCCGCAAGGGGTCCCTCCCCCAGGCCGGCCTCAAGTCTCTGGTCCTCCTCCAAACATGGGCCCGCCCCCCAACATGGGACCACCTCCTATGCAGGCTCCGCCCCAAAACATGGCACCTCCTCAAATGCAGGCTCCACCCCAAAACATGGCACCTCCCCCTCAAAACATGCAAGGACCTCCTCAAAACATGCAGGGACCTCCTCAAAACATGCAGGGACCTCCTCAAAACATGCAAGGACCTCCTCCTAATATGAACAGGCCTCCTCTCCCACATAACATGGGCGGCCATCCACCCCAAAGCATGAGTGGCCCTCCACCCAATATGGGGGCCCCGCCTCTAAATATGGGAGGACCGCCTCCTGTGGCACCTGTCCCCCAGCAGCATCATGTACAGCAGACAATGCCCCAGCCTCAACAGGTGCAAGCTCCTGTTTCTGTAGCGCCCCCAGCGCCCCATGTAAACCCTGCCTTCTTCACTGGTCAGCCGCAGGTACAACAGCAGCAACCCCAGCAAGCACCTCCCCAGCAAGACAGAACGGTAAGCCCAAATTTTAAAGTACTGTGGCATGCACCTTTCTGGTTTTATACATGTACATGCAAAATTGCTCAATATTTCAGAAACTTGTTGTATGCGACAGTTTTACATTTTACAATACTGTGGCATATACCTCTCAGGTTTGATGTTTATACATGCAAATATAGTCATTTTGGTTTATGGTTAATTTGCCCTCCTAAAATAAACAATCACTTACCTGTCGTTTAATATTCTGCTTGTAATTAGTAGTAAAATGAGCTGTATATATTTTATGTTGTAGATGTATGACCAGTCAAGGCAGCAGACCTATACACAGCAAGAATACAGAGCTCCATCAGAACCAGACAGGTGAGGTTGCTTTTTATCCCTCCTACATATCAGGATTAATTGCCACTTGGTCTAATAATCATTTCGTCTACTTATCATTTGGTCCAATTACCATTTATCCTAATAGTCATTTGGTCTAATCTACGATCAGTCTAATGCCCATTTTGTCTTTGATTTGTTTGGTCTAATAATCGTTTGATGATTATCTATATTTGTTAATAAATGATTATTAGAGTTCATGGATAGCAGACAAAATGGGCTTTAGTCAAACTTATAAAACACCAAATCCTGAAGCTCCACTGCCCTACTTATAGCTACTTGCACCCTCTATATAGCAAACAATGTCTAATCGGTGCCTGTTGGTCCCCCATGATTCTTACGATAATTGAGAGCTGATTTTATGTTAGTAGTGACCTTGCAGGGAGTTGTAATCCCCCCTGGCCAAACTAGTACAGATGGTCTTTAAAAGAGCTCCTCAACAGAGGAGCATGTACACTGTCTCTCACTGTTTTGTTTATTGCCTCTTGAATTACTGGATTGCTCTTCTTATCATTAAAAGAAAGAATCATTGATTTTATTAAAAAAAAACTTTGTGTCATGCAGGCAACCCTCTCCGGCCCCTCAGTTGGGCGAGGCCGAGTTTGAAGAGATCATGAACAGGAATCGTAACGTATCGTCTAGCGCCATCGCTAGGGCCGTCAACGATGCATCATCAGGTATGTTGTTTTTTCTTTCTTTCTTTTTTCTTTTTTCTTTTAAAACTTTAATCTATCAAGTAATTCATACATACATCATGATAACAATAATCATAAAATCACTACACAATAATTTCAAAAGGTAAAAACAGATGAAAAACATCGAACAATACAGAAATAGTGGGTAACAATTTCTTTCATTTCTTTTCTACAGTGTATATCATAGGATTATAATCCGAATACTTCAGTGCATTCCTTCAATCTTCTTCTGTTTTGCAATGTTAAGTTCTATGTATTTTGCGTTACTGATAAAAGACGTAAGCCCACTTAAACGTGGATCATCAGGTATGTTATCTTAGTCAATATGCTTAAAATGAAGAGAACAAAATAATAATAATAATATTCCGCTTTTATATAGCGCTTAATACAAATGTCTCAAAGCGCTTTACAGATATACTTTTACCCCTAATGGATGTAATATGTAAGGGCTACAGAAGATTATTAGTAACGTCATGTGCTAGACTTTCTGGAATTGAGGAAAAAGGAAAGAGATGTTTAACAGGTTCATTGGTGAAATATAGAACAAGGGCCTTTTCAGTAAGGCTAGTGCATGAAGTTACCAAAAGCCTTCCTTTGTACTTAATCGCTCACTATGCAACCTATAGAGAACTTCAAAAACTATTGTTTTTGTTGTATTCCATTATTCTAAAACTTGTGGATAAAAAATACGCTACAAACTCTATGGAAAGGCCAAGAGATGCACAGTCATGGATGACACGATTTGTTGTATTTGAAAATATCATTTAAGTACAGCCAAAGAAATAAAGATGTGTCTTTACATGTGCATTCAATGAATTTGTCGTCTGTAACCAGTGCGTATATCGTTGCCTGTCAACCTACATACAATACATGCAATACATGCATCTTAGCTATGTATTACCACTTTTACAGTGCGTTATCATATTGTAATCAAAGAGGTTTTTTAACGGTTGGAAAGAATAATGTGCGGTCACATGTCGTCATTTGACCAGTTAGATTGCCTACCTCCTTGAATCTGTTTGATGAACCCTCTAAAGTTGTAGTCAGCAGGGCGGTACTCTGCATGTCCCTAACTTTAGGAAAGGCTTGGTAGCGCATGCTAGAGTGTGCCTCTTAAACTTCAACAAATGGAGCCAAATTAAACTGACTTATGATGATTTTATGCATAGCAGTAACACTATCAAAACATTCTATTCTTAACAGGGGAAAAAATACTTTTAAAATTTCGGGGGCTACTTTTCAAGCTTGCTTGCATGAAAATAACACTCTTTATTTTGTTTTGCATTGAACTCTATGGCCCGAATTCACAAAGGAGGTTTAGATTTAACCCAGGCTAAATCTAACCCTGGGTTATTTAGCCCAGGCTAAATCTAACCCACGGTTTAAACCTCGCTCGGTATTCACAAAGCGTGGGTTAGATAACCCATGGTCTAAATCTAACCCACGGTTTAACCCACGGTTTAAGCATGCCTAAGAGAGCAAAAAAATAAACTGAGCATGCGCAGAATTGAAGCATTGAACTGAGCATGCGCGCTCAGTACACTTGGTTACTCCACCTAGTTCACCGTCGTCTGCTAAGTCCAGATTCAGTTGTATTTGGGCTATTACTCTTCGCCTACAAGTAGAGACTGAAAACCGACCGATTCCAAGTTGAGATAAGACTTTAAACCACTATTCACATACTAAAACAGTTCTCTGACAGATGTCCTCAAAATATTACCGAATTTCGCATAAATTACCTCAATAATTCCTCACTATCGTTGTTAATTTATGGCCTATAATCGTCCGACATAATTATGATCAGCTGGGCATCACAACACACTAAACATCGACAGTTTTCGTGAAGAGTCCACAAAAAACTTCTGTAAACGACCCTTATACCAGAGTGAAAATTTTCTTTGATGTAGTGTTCATTTTAGAGCTATATGATCACATTTTCGTTGATTGTTATGATGATTTTAGAGCGTAGGTCACACTTTAGTTTAGCAATTAATCAATCTGAAGTAAGAGTAGACTCGTGTTATATATAGCGTAGACTCCGTAGAGGGCAGCGAAAGCGATCGATGACGTTTAGTCCAGAATGTGTTGATGATGTAGAAAGAAAGGGCTGAAAGGTTACGATAAATACTATCTGATAGAAAATACTGGCATTAATGCATGAAATGCATAGATGTATTGAGAAAAAAAACCGGGCTTACTGGTCATATAAAATAGGAGGACAGCAAAAACAAGGCAGTATTGACATGTGATAAAGAATTATTAGGCCTAATTCGGGGGGAGGGGGGGGGGGGGAGGGGACATTAATTGTTTTCTTAGGGGATCGGGGTTTTTTTGAGGGGGGGGGGTGGAGGGGGGGGGGGGTAATTTTGTTCTTAATTTTTCATAGGGGGGAGGGGGCATTAATTGTTTTCTTAGGGGGTGGGGGTAATTTTGTTTTTAATTTTTCTTAGGGGTGAGGGGGCATTAATTGTTTTCTTAGGGGGGGGGGCATTCATTTTTTCTGAATTTGTTTATTTGCTGTATTAATTCTTTTCTTAGGGGGGCGTTCATTTTTTTTCTTAATTTTTCTGCTTTATTGAATTTCTCAAGGGAATAGTGATTTAAACAAAAAGAAAAGAACTTTTTTGTAAATTTCGTCTCTATTTCTCACTCTTTCACCTTCCTTGTTTTCGTTTGTTGTCTCTCTTTTTTCACCAGCTCTCCAGCCCACCTCTCTCAAATATCTTTTTATTCCTTAGAACTCCATTTGTTTAAATCCCTCTCGTACCCCTTTTCTTTCTCTTTTTTCTCCACCTCTCTCTCTCTCTCACACACATACCCTTCTCCTTCTTTCTTCATCTCTCTCTTTATCTTTTGCTCTCTCTCTGTGGGTGTTTGGATTTAGCGAAACATACTGAATCCATTTTAATTCATGGTGTGTACTGGGTAATTATAAGTAATAGATAACAGCAAATGGTATATTAATAATTAAACAAGATAAACAAAGTAGGCCATTTACTTGTAAAACGTTTACCTCCTAACTTAATATTTTCACGAGAAAAACCACACCATCAAACAAGAGAAATTTATATTTAAATATTGACGATTTAATATGGATAATCAAAACAAGTATTCAAGGTTATTGACGAAGACAATGTTGAAGTCGATGATGATGTCAGTGATGATAATGATGACAGCAATGTTGTCGGTGGCGATGGTGATGAAGCAGTCAAATAACGATTTCAGTGATGATGTTGATGATGATGAAGATGATGACGATTTCCCTTTCAAAGTGGTTGGTACCTTTTGCAAAAATGTTTTTGGGAGGAACCATATCAACCATTAGATTTCAAATCATCCGGTCTAATTGTTTCAGACCACAGTACTGGATGGGTGTATGTTTCGTTGAGAGAAACTAAAGGGTGAACCAATTCCATATCGGTCATTTAATTAATTGGATTAAAAGTAAATGGGGAGCATCTCCAAAAAATGGGAAAATTTTCATTTCATTAATAGAGTATCTGTTCTTCCTATTAATAAAATACAGGGCTTGATCTCCACCAGGAGAAAACCTGGCAACCTGCAGTATTGGTAGAACTGCTGCTGTGTTGCTTCTACTTCTTCTCTTGATGTTGGGAACTTCATGAATTGTTTCCTTCTTCTTGCAAACGCTTCTGACACGTCTTTGATGACTCTGCATACAGAAGACTGTGAAAGTTGTGCCTCATCACCATGCATCTTTTGGAATGACCCTGTAAAAAAAAAATCCTTTTAGTGAAATATCAACTAGTACAATTTCTTACAAATTACATGGCCAGATCAAATTCTCAAACTGAGAAATGTTTAATGTCCTTAAAATTGTAGAATAGATTTTTTATTAAATCAGGGCTGTCAACCCTCTTGCATTTAGAGGGAGTCTCACGCCACCACGCCCTTCCTCCCGCTTTGATGTAGAATCTCCCGGTTTATGAAAAAACCTCCCGCAAAACATGGTAACCGCAATTTTACCCTTTTACTTTTTCGCTCAGCCCAGATTAAATAGAAATTTACTAAATACTAAATAAGGTAAATTACTCACCAACAGCATAGAATCGAAGTGCTGTCACTAACTGTATAGGTATTGGGTCGTTTCTGTCTGTCGTCCTCCTCAGCTCTTCATCCACCAAGTTGATGAGGTAGAGCGCTGTCTCTTTGGAAAACCAGTACCTGGTCCGAAATGATTCATCATTATACACTTCAAAAGGGTTCATGGGTCACGAAGGCCTCTCTGAGGTCTGCCTATCAACTCTCTGTTCCGATCAAGCTGGCGGAGATGGTGAATATATTCAGCCATGCTGTCTCTGTCACAACAAAATAGAAAAAAGTGAATTAAAATTAGAACATGAAAAGAAAAAAATATCATTCATTGTTTATCAAATAAATCCTATGATATTACATGTTTTGCATTCTTTGTATTGTAGACAAACTGATTTTGAATAGCTTTTGCAAACTCTAAAAAAAATATTAACGATACTTTGATTGCATTAAAGAAATGAGTGCTATTGATTCATACTATTGGGTAATTAGGAAAGATGATGTCACTGAACCTCCATAAGAACGTAGGGGCCATGCAATTCCTGTCATGTTTTGTTAAAAATCTACTCATGCTTGATAAAATGTGAAATTAGATAGACTAGACCCTAGACTAGAACTAGTCTACATGTGCATGTAAATTAGCATTAGATCACTGAGATAGATCTAGATTCTAGATCTAGATGTCCCATGTGAAAGGTTGAATTTGACTAAGATTACATATAGACTAGATTCTTGATCTAGAGCCTGAGGTCTATACCGGTACCCCCTACGGCCTAGGTCTAGACTAGTCTACTAGTTCTAGATCTAGAAAGTCTAGAGTACTAGACTAGACCTAGATCTAGACTAGACCTAGACTTCTAGACTAGATCCCTAGATCTAGATCTAGGCCTAGAGTCTAGGTCTATTTTGAAAAATATTTTATTCCATTTCAATTTCTAAAGCTAAATTAGAATAGGTCTAGGTCTAGTAGGCCTATCTAGTCTAGACTAGATAGACTAGACCTTCTAGATCTAGATCTACTAGGTCTAGATCTAGAATCTAGATCTAGACTAGGTCTAGATTCTAGACTAGACCTCTAGATCTAGATCTGCATCTTTTACAATAATTTACAAAATAAATTCATGCCATGGTTTGGCGTGCTTTGACTAATTTCTTGGGACTGAGGACTAGATCTAGATCTAGGCCTAGATCTATCTCATCTAGCCTAGACTCTAGGCCCGCGTCGTGTTTGCGTGTCTCACTGCCACGTACAACGGTCGAGCTCAAGCTCAAGTCTTATTCAGTCAGTACTAAGTGTCAGTGTAGGCTAGTAGTATTAGAGACTAGTCTAGATCTAGGTCTAGACCAGGCCTCTGTAATATAGTACTAGTAGGCCTAGACTAGACTAGTAAAATCCATCTGCAGCGTCTGCGTGGAAGAATTTTCATCTTCATTTCGGCATTTTTCGTTCTCCTCCGTTAGTCAGATGAGAAGCAGCATCAGCAGAGCAGAAAATACAAATGGAACTGTCGCTACCCCCCCCCCCCCTCGAGGCCAGGAATGTCTCAAATGTCATGAGTAACATATTTTTCTTCCCGAATCACACAATTGTGTGATGTTATAACTAATTTCGTATTGTTAGCTGGCACATTCGCAGTTATTGCGAAATTGCCTTGCCTCGCAGGATTACATAAACAACACAACACAAATACACACGCATGGGTCCGAGCTACGTTAGGTTCTGCGACAATGTTCGCAAAGGCTGTGCAACTTACATTGAAGATTATTATTCGTGCACTTTTTACGCACATAAATCATGTTCAATTGGGCTTCCATTGTAGCAGAACTGAGAATAGGGTACAAATATGTTGTGAATAACTAAAAATACTTACAATGTAGGCTATCAAAGTTGAAAAAACAGCAACTTTGTGAAGGTCTCTTCACTTTGTTTCACCACAAATTTGTCAACAAAATTTGTACGGTCGTCTGCGCTAAAAAGCCAAAGCTCGCTGGTATGACGTCATATGACGCGTTAAACCGTGGGTTAAACCGTGGGTTAGATTTAGCCCGCTGTTTAAACCACCCTTCTGAGCAGGTTAAAAATATGACGTAATATGACGCGATTTAGCCTGGGTTAAATCTAAACTTCCTTTGTGAATACCAAAATAATGACCCATGGTCTAAAGCTCGGGGTTATGACGTATTATGACGCGATTTAGCCTGGGTTAAATCTAAACCTCCTTTGTGAATTCGGGCCTATGCAATTGGGGGGGGGGGGCTCTTTTAAGACTTTCGGGGGCTCTTTTGGGCATTTCAGGGGCTAATTTGCCCCGAGCCCCCGTGTAATTTTTCCCCTGCTAATTGTGATTAGCCTATTTTGATTTCTCATTCAAGGTGCCTTCACCAGTGCTATAGACACATTGGAGACGGCCATCTCACTCATCAAAAGGTCAAAGGTTGCTAACGATGACCGTTGCAAGCTTCTTATTAGCTCTCTTCAGGATTGCCTGCATGGAATCGAGACCAAGTCCTACGGAGGATCATCAGGTTCAAGGTAAAAACAAGTGAAAGCATCTAATAAGCATTGCCACTCCATACCCAGGAGAGGCATTGAGAAGTAGTCTGTAAAACTGGAGACAACGCAGGAAGATGAAATGAACCCAACAAATATAATATAATAAAAAAAAAATTGCAAAGGCATTAGCACCAGATATTTATGGAAGATATGCTCTAGGCGAGAAATAATGAAGTCCTTGATGACTTGGGAACTCAAATGAGTTATTCCATATTGTGCAAATGTGTTGGTGCTGGTTTCAATTTACAAGGTTTTTACTAAAACATTTTTGTGTTCCAACAACCAGACTATTATTTACTCTGTAAGGCTTAAACATAAAAAGATGTTGTATTGCCATTTAGGTGCCAAAACATGGGTCGGTCGGTTGAAAATCTCCCTTTTCGGGCTTATATTTCTCAGTTTTGAATGCTTTAAATACTTTCTTCTTTTTTCAAAGGGAAATTTTTTTATTTTTTTTAAAAACCCCGACCATAGATTTCAAGATTTGTAGGTCAGTTGCAAAGGGCAATACAACATCTTGTATTTTTAGGCCTAATTGATCTTGCATTGCAATTTTTTTTCAATAAAACCAAATGGCTTTAGAAATTGTAATTATGTATTTTCTCCTGACTTGACGATATCTTTTCAGCAGCTCGCGGTCACGCAAGGACCGAGGATCGCGAGAGCGTGACCCTGAGAACCGTCACAGGTCACGTGAATCTCGCAGCTCCAGGCATAAACGTGAGAGATCTCGCAGTCGGGACAGAGAATACCGGGAGAGGAGCAGAGAGAGAGAGTACAGCGACAGGGAGCGTGGGGATCGTCATCGGGACCGGGATCGGGACCGTGATAGGGAGTACCGAAGACGTTAGTGCTCGCTACGAGAGGAGTCGTTTAATTTGTAAGTAACCCGTCTTCTTGGAGATGTTTCCTGGCTGATGGCATACAGGTGTTGGTTTGCTTCCGACTGCTCAGTCTGATCACTTCTCTCAATTATTTTATGAATGTGGGATTATGTCAAAAAGTTTATTTTGGAAGTACCGTCAAGGAAAGAGGAAAAGTGAGATGGATGAATGCTACTCAAAAATGTAGGAACTATGTTTAGAATTGGCTATATAATTAGAATGCCATTACGGACACACTTAATTTGATTGTGTCTGAATTGCGTGTCCTCCAAACTGACATAATGTTATTATATAATGGCAGGAGTATTTTCTCAAATACAGATATATCTAAATGATATGTCTTAGGGAAAGGACACAACAGGAGGAAGTAAACCAATACCTGTGTTAGCCCTATTTGATACCCGTCAAAATGATTAATCAACATTCCATGTCTAACTCTATCTTTCTATTTTTCAGACGTGAAAATAGGTAAGTTCCCCACTGACTCTTTGATATAATAAACTGTAATTGATTGAATTTAGAGATGTGGGTCCTTTCTTTGCAAGCATTTCTTCAAGTGTCTAGCTAGGTGATGGCGTGTCTCAATGGGTGCGAGGTGTGCCAGAGTTTTCCAAGGCGGTGATGAGTTCTTTGGGTAAGTTGAATTGTATCTTTAAAGGTAAAGACCAGTTATGGTCATGCGATTGCATTGTGAAAGAAACATTGTGAAATCGATCAGAAAAGGTTGATCGTCTAACATAGATGTACTGCAAGGTTCTGGAATCATCAAAATGATAAGAAATTTGGCCAAGTCTTCATAAAGTTAGAAGCACTGTATACAGAAAGATGTATATGGGACTACACACACGTGCGCGACACGTGCATTTCATATCTCTCAACAGGCAAGAGATACACTAATTTACCAAATATATCAATTAGTAGGCGTTTTCCTGTCAAATTTTTTATCATCATGTAATATTCAAAACATATTCTTTCACATGATTGGTAATAAGAGCTTCCATTTCACTTTTTGGAATTGGGGCGTTTCCAATACTGGTCTTTACCTTTAAGATTTGTTTTTTTTTGGTGCTAATTTACTACTTTATTGGATGGGTCAGACGGGAGAGATACCCTTTGTCTCTGTGGGAAAAGTCTGCTTTATTAATGAAAATATATATATATATCTATAAATATTTATAATTAAAGTTTTGCTCATCCTTTCTTTAAAAAATTATTCCTCATTTGGTTGCAAGAAATTTATTAAAGATGTAATTCTTGTATCTAACCTTCATTTAGACCTAAAATGAGTTGAATTATTGATAAACGATTGTGTTTTGTTTTGTTTTTGTTTTCTTTAAATATTTCTCTACTCTATTGTTACCATAATCTTGCTGTCAATCTCATTCTTTCTTACTGTTTGTTCAACTTTCAATGTATTTTTATACGTACTTCTGTACTCTAAAACATGAAGAACAGACCCTTTAAATACTCATAATCTTCAGACTCCACAAATGAACAATGTCCAATAGATACAGACAATGTTAAGCACATGCTTTGAAGAACAACATTATTTCTTTAATTGATGAAATGTGTAGACTATTGTCAAGTTATCTATAATAAGGTGTGAAACTATGAACCAATATTCTATAAGCAATATTTAGATGCCTTCTAACAGATACTAGTAACAGAACAGTTAAAAAATGTGCCGCATGGTACTTGATTACTCACTTTTTGTAAGTTGGAATTTTGAAATTGTCAGAATTTATGTTTTTTATCTCGGAGTGGCAGTATTTATTGAAATATCATTCTAACCATCTGAAATTCAAATTAGTGTATGGTACTTGCAAATCACACTTACAAAAAGTCATTTATGCAAATGTTATAGAGCTCTTTAATGTCTCTCTGTTTTTTTGTTTTTTTTTATATATTTGTCTTTGTGAGGTATAAGTCCAATTAAAGAATTGTCATTCCAAGCTTCAGACTAAGTGATCACAGGATTATCAATTACTGAAAAAAACATCATGTTCTATAAGAATTTTTATTTTTCAATTATCACCCAAGGTATTAGGGTGATATCTATTAAATGTAAATGTAATAGTGGTTCAATCACTTTACTCTCAATCCAAGGATTAAGGGTTTGAAACCCAGCCCGGTACTACTGTCTTGTGGCAAGGCATTTATCCATATTGGCCACTCTCCACCCTGGTGTAAATGGTTCCTGGCAATTGATTGGTAATATTGATAATAGCAGGGCCCTCAGGAAGGACAGCATTGATACTGATGAGGCTTCCCTGGGTAAACAAAATATTAGTATTATTGTGTGGGAGTATAATTAAATCATAAGTCAACTAAATTACATAGATTTTAAAAGATATGTACATATATTTTAAAAGCTGTCATAAATTGCTTATTGGTAACTTTGCTTGGCTCTTTTTTGTACAAGATACATCTGACATTTTGAACCTTATTAAACTTCATTAATTAAGCCATCATTATTTAAAGCTACCTAAGAAAATAAAACAAATACTTATATAATGCCAACATTCACAAAAGTTACTAATTATTTTATTACAAGATTAATATTGTACTAATTACATAGTAGTAGTAGTAAGAAATTCCCACATAACCACTTAATCCACATAAATAGTACACCATACATGTAATTAGGACTTTGAAATGAGCTTCAAAAAATTGTGTACTCGATACTTGTTTTTCTGATATTTGAAGTTAGTTGCCATACTTTTGCCTGGGTTGTGTGCATTATAAACAAGATTGTATTTTTTCTGAAAAGAAAGGGGTGTGTGACTTGTGAAATTAATGATCTATTGTCAATCAATTTTAAGTTTATTTCCTCTTCATTATCAAAAGAAATCTATCATCCCTGACATTTATACATGTTTATTCAGCAGTAAACAAATTTATTATATATTTATTTGACAACGTCAAACTAGTGACTGCCTATCTATTGCTTTTTTGTTAGGGCTCTTACATATAACTTCACATGTAGTTGTAATTATTTACCTTTTTTGTGCTCTTAACCAGTAAATGAGGTGTCAGTAATATTTAAACTAAATATCTTTTCAATCTGATTGTTATCTTGTGAGTCTTTCATGTGGAAAAGAAGGTACCTTTGCCTTTTCTTCACTTCAAGTAATTATTCACTGTACATGGCGAGTAATTTGGTCATTGGGACCATTATACATACAAATTGTACACACAGTTACTTAACTTATTTAAATTAATCTGTTTATTTATCTGTTTATTTTTTAAACATTTGAAATTCACTTTTGCATCGGACCATTATACATACAAATTTTGCATGCAGTTACTTATAAACTTATTTCGATTATTCTGTTATTTTTTTATATTTGAATTTTTTTTTTGCATCCGTACAACCCAGAAATGATGATTAAAAAGATGGGGGGAAATAACAAGAATCAAGAAAAATCAAAAGGAAACTAAAGACATCATGATGGGGGGGGGGGGGGGGGGGGGGGGGGGGGTGAATGTAAAAGCTTTTAAGTTGTGATAATTTTATTTTGCATGATTATTTACATCTTCTTCCAATCAGATAATTTATAGTTTCATATGAAATACCATGTGTGTAGCCAGCTTTTGATGTAAATTTAACTAAATGTGTTACGAAGTTCAATCATAGCCTGAGAGATCATATTAAGTAAATAGATTTTTGAGCTTTGATTCCTTTGTTTCAAAACAGACATGTGTAAAAGACATAAATCACACTACATGTAGTAGATTATTGTATTGAAAGGGGTAGACAAATTGGATTGCACTTCACCATTTACCTCGTTGACTTGTCATTTCTAAAAATTTGAGAAGTAATAGCTGTAAAATAGTTTTTTAAATTTGTAAGGCTCAGTAACAACAGTAATGAGGTTACTTTCTAGTTTCTTAAAATCTTAAATCATGACAGAGACTTAAATTTAATTTCTTATGTCAGGGGGTTACAATCAATTATTAAAGGAAACTAAAATTGCGGAAATGTTAATACTATGTGATATGATTAGGAGCATTGTTTTTGTGCAATATTGCATAAATTTAAACTTTTTGAAGTGATAATTTTGTTGATGTATAAAACTTTTTAGTTGTTTGGAATTGCTGAAATTCCATGTTTGAAATTCTTTATTTAAGATGACAGACTTTTATTTTGTTATAAGAAAATTTTACATTTCCAACTTTAAGGGGATGTCCACTCTATTAGATTAATCAGAAATATCAAAGTAACAGTCTGAAGAAAATTTGCAAAAAAATAAGCGTAATGTATTCATAGAGAATTCAATTTGTGCATTGATCATCGGAACTTAAAAACCAAAATAAATTTCTTCATTTTGTGATACTTTGAAACTATTGTATTATCAGGCTGGACACCCCCTTTCTTTGTTACTCCGAAAAATATCACATCCTTGTACTGTATAAGCTAGTATTCTTGGATGGGTTTGAATTTCATGAATCCACACTGATCACAAATGTAACAACGTGCAGAAATATTTCCACCTTTTTTTAGGGGTTTTCCCTGTAGAAGGGGTTTCCATATCAAACTTTTGGGGTTTGCAAGCATACGTCCACTTTCTAATTCATGATGTTCCTTAACATGTTTATGCATATGCGCAGTGCACCAGCACAGTCATGCATGCTTTGCACAAAACCAGGTTGTGTGTACTGAAGTAAGTATGAGTACATTGTGGGTATTTCGGAAAATCAACGACTCAAAATGTCTTTCGGCATGTACTATGCTAAAATATCTGTACTTGAAATTGTTGGCGTACTTACACAATATTTGATGTTTTATAAAGGCACTAATAAGAGGAAAATACTTAGGTGATAAACAGATATACCTCACCTTTTGTATTCTCTTGCTTTAATTATGAAGGGGGGGGGGGGGGGGGGTCCACCATAATCTCGATATTAGTAGGTGCAAAGATATAATTGTTATTTCTTCCAAATTAAATTGCATTTAGATTGTGTGATGTTTGTTGAGCTTATTCCATAACCAACCTGTTAGTGTTCATGATAAAATTGGCAGTAAGAATTGTAGTCTAATTTCCATGGTGTTTTAAAAAGGAGCAGCAGCAAAATTATGAAAAAACATACTAGTAACTGGACTTATATAACTATATTTCTTTTTCAATCCCAGACATTAGTCACTGTTGTGCAGCTATGGGACTTTTCAGGATCCTTTTAGATTCAAATGATGGTTGAATGCTCCTAATGTTTACATTTGTTCATAGGATAGGCTAGTAAAAAATATCTACCCGTTTGATATTACATGCCTTCTTTTTATTCACTTGTTTTTTTTCTTGTGAGTAGACTCAGTTACTGCTCCACATCCCTCATTGTGTTATTGCCATTTTGTTTTTTACCTTTGTTTATTCGATGTTGAACAAACACTCCTTTTCAAAATAACCTTAACACTAAACTACGGTTTATTTGACACTGTTTCAGCTCATGTTGCTTTGTAATGGTGTAAGGGCTCCTTGTTGGTTGGTTTTCTCTTCTTATTTACTTTTATTTATGGTTGAAAGCCCAACTTAAATAATTATTAGACACATATATATACAGTACATCCCAGAATAAAAAAAACGGAACTCCCCAAAACAAACAGTATTTATGAGAAAAATGTGAGCTGTATTAAAAAAAAAACAATTTATTGCTTTTCATAAAGTAGAAGCAATATACCTTGAAATGATACTGTGAATGTATTGATCTGTTCTTGCTATTTTCAAGATAATGTTGCTCAGTTAACATGTATGGATTAATGTCATCAATGTATCATGTTAAAGTATATTACTTCTATGTTATGAAAAGGGAGGAATCATAGAGCTTGTTCACATTATCCGTTTGTTTTCTGGTTTCGTTTGTCTTTTTCTGGAGATGCACTGTACATGTTGCCTCTGACAGTATAAGTTTATCTGTTTATTGATTATATTTTGTTTAAAATCAGTATTCAGTTTTGAATGCTAAGAAATGCTTACAGTTTCAGTAGTGTTGAGTCATGTTAATAACTTCAGGTCAGAAAGGGAAAACAGAGTCTGAAACTAATTTTCTTTAAATTTTTCTCTTACATATATATATATATATATATATATATATATTGGATAAGGCAGACTAATGGAACATGGTTGCAACTCCGAGTTTCACGCCTTGCAAGGCGTGAACTAGTTTGAATTTAAGAGATACATAAGCATTCATTATGTTCTTGTATTCATATACATGTACCAATACTAATATTTTTTACTTTATAAAGAAAAAATATCAGTACTACATTTATACTACTACAGTACTACTATAGCGTATTTGAATATAACTGGAATATTACTATTAATCATGAGCAACATTACACTTGATATGCTTGATTGATTTTACAATATGTAAGTATGATGTCTAAAACAACATTGTGACTTTGTGACAAATATTCAAATACTTAAATTAAGGCTTGTTTTTAGATGGTTTACACCAATGAGTCATTACACTAACAGAAATAACCCAGGAAAATTAGTTGCTAGTTCTTTGTCGTGAGGAAAAATATTCAATATGAAGTAAGAATTTGTCTTTATTTTGTCACAATTATTTTGCAGTTTTAGTATGTCATTCAAAATTTGCACCGCATCAGTTACATCAATGAGAGGGAAAAGTTCATGATTCCAGAGTTCTGATATCAAATCAAGCACTGTAGACAGAGTGTAGTGAATTGAAGGGGAAAAGTTAAGCACATGTTGCTCAGTTTCAATATCGTTTTAGGGGGAGCATGCATTCCTAGGTCCTTGTAGAGAAAATGGATTTATAGGAATTTTCCAGTGAAGACTATTTCTAGAGAAAGGAAATATAATCAAAATGTCACTTTATCATCTCTTTGCCTTCATGATTAAAAAACCACTTGTCATTTAGAAGAATCTCCATTTTGAGGGTGTATTTGCCATAATATTTGATAAAATCAATGATTTTTTAAGCTTAAAATGGTATACAGTGTGTATAGAATGGTATAGGTCCAATATAAGTTCCTTGGGGGACACCTTTCCTTCTTGCTTTAGAAGGGTTGTAAGTCATCAAGGTATATTATGTTTCACTTTTGCTTTTTTTGAAAAACTTTTATTTCATCAATATAACTACTTTGTACATCTTATTCACAAAATTAAGGATCTTGTCTGAGACCAATTTTTTTAGTGAAACTGTTGGTAATGTTGTAAATGATGATGCTTTTGAATTGTTAAAATTGATGGTTACTGGTTAGTTCTGTTTAATTGGCCCTAAAATCATCCTTATTGTGTCTTCACTTAGAATTTAAAGGGGACTTTATAATCAATTACAAAGTGATATTAGGCAAGGCCCTTATGACAATGTTAAACCGGAAACTTGCAGGGCATGAAACATTCGCCAATAGTAAACAAAAGCCTTTTTCAAAGCAAGAACTGCGACTATTTCCAAAATTTTGCAAAAGATTGTATCAGTTCAGATTGATAATTTTGCAAATCTGAACGTCTCATGAATCTAAGATAAGCAAACGCTTTTTGCATGTGGAAGGTCCTTGTTTTACTGTATTTCTTGTTGTAACCAGATATAGGCTAGATATAATTCACATATTTGGGTCTTTTTTGTCTTTTGTTACAAATTGAAATTGATTCATTGGTCTGTTATATACAATGTTGCATGCATTAGATTCATAATAAGTCATTGTTGATGGTGGAAATATATCGCACATATAATTAGCAATAGCCAATTTATTACTTGTTATACTCATTATTTGAAATCAAAAGCAACAATGCATTTGCATAAGAAATATACTTTAGATATTAGTGTGTGAATTCGTTTTAAACAAATGTATGGTACTAAAACAATTTTCTTAATCTCTTTACGAGCCTACACGTAAAATATGTAGTGTCTTGTCAATTGCAACAGGGAGACATGTGTAAAGAAGTTTACCAAGGGAGAAAAATGGGGCAATTATCACTCAGCATTTCTTTCTTATTTTTTGTCTTTTTTCTTTTGCTTGTCAAGGAGCAATTAAATAAATGAGAGGTATTGCAATTTATGATTTCAAAGGTATATGATTCAAAGCAATGTATTTATGATTGAACAACTTATTCATAATGTGCGATGTTCTCTCTTCTTTCATTCACAGCTTCCAGGCATAAATTACTTTCTTTTATTCTGTTGTTGTTGGTTGTTGTTGATACATGTTACTAATGTTTCATGATGATACTTGCAATTAAGCATATGAATGTCCAGTGGGCTTTCTTGATGAAATTAAGCTTATGGCATTGAATGAATATATTTTTGTTTCCTTCCCATTGCTTGTGACATGTTTTTGGCCTACTTGATTAGAAATCATTCTTCAGTTCAGGCCATATAAATACCTGGTATGAGTGATGATTCACATATATCGCCGGCCGGCTGGCAGAAGGGCGAAAATTGGTTTAAAACTTAAAAGACTAATAGAAATGTTATAGTAGAACATGGCCACAATTTTTTTTTCTCGGAAATAAGTCAGTTTTATAAAAGTTTGAGGCGATTTAGTGCTAACGCCCTTCTGCTTAACGCATCATTTTTTACCTGAAATTCAAGCTAACGCCCTTCTGCCACCCAGGTGACGATATATAGAAACAAAATGATGACAATATTTTCAATACCATTCACATTTTTACCTGTTCATCAGATTAAAATATCTCTTGTAATTTGCATTGAAAATCCACTGGACATTCAGTGATATTTATATTTTTGATAACCTTGATACAATGTATGTGATGAATGTTTTTTTTATTTTTTATTTTTTAATTCCTTTACAAAGTATACTTGATTGATATTGATTTCTTCGTCTACTTATGAAATACTTGTATTCAAATTTTGTGGAAGAAATTTTTTGACTAGATAATGTCACTATAATTTCTTCAAATTATTATGTTGTTGTTGGATTGAATCGAAGGAGATTGTTTTTGTTGATCATAAATCATAATACCAAAAATATTCAAATGATTGATATTGTTTACAAATCTAATCGCAAATAATGGCTAGTTTCAGAGAAGAAATGGATTTTATTGATAGCAGTTGTAATTTTTTTTTTTTTTTTAATTTTTACTGAATTTTTACTGAATTGCAATATTGTCAATGTTAAAAAAGAGTTTAAAAGAACATATTCAAATTCATTGTTCTTTTGAAGAAGTATCTGAAATTGAATTTCATTAGGAGGGGATTAAAGAAGATTGTAAAAGCTGACTTCTGAAAAGGTCTGGCTAGGGTGGGGTATAATTGCTGGATACTTATTAACATGTGATTTTGTACATGTATGTTGTGTTGTGATGAAAAAGGCAGTTCCATTTGGGTTACCATAAACAGATCTCATATTGATTTAGGAAATGTTATATAATCTAAATTTGTATTTGTATAGTCATTCAAGAGAATATCAACCATTTCTACATGCTCAGAATAGAAGATTTGCCATACATTCTTGCTGTTTAAATTATTTATTATTTCCAATACTATTACAATTTAAAAAAATGTCCATATTTTATATATAAAGCCCTACAATGTCTAATGATCAGGAACATTGCATTACATTTAAATACTTGTGCAATATTTTCTTGGCTGAGGGCAAGTTTGTGTCTGTGGCTCTACATATAGGAGTGTTGTTGTCTGTAATATGTTGATATTATCTTTAAAATCAAATTTTTGCGGTCAATCTTTGAAATGTACCAATCGATCAGGTTCTAAGCTAACTCGTTTATATTATTGTAATATCTTCATGTGCTTGATATCTTTAACTCGTCATATGCAGAAATGTTAATTCACTTATGTTAACTCCGCCATTTTCTCTCTTTTCCCCAATATTTGCCACCTTCTCTACTTTTGTTTTGAACTCTCTAGGTGTTCTTAGGTGTGTGTTCTGCCACCTAGCTTTGGCCAAGTAATCGCTTTTGTTACATAGCAGCCTGCTGTATAAATGCTGATGGTCACGACATGTAAGGATTAACTGTAGAAACATTTTTGGGACCTAAAACTGATGTTTAAAGCAGGTGGAAGCTTTGATTGTGACTGTAAATAAGAACAGGGAGGGTTTTTGTTTTGTATGATCTTCAGGTCAGACATTCAAGTACAGGTAAAAGTTAGCCATTTGGTGACAAATCAAAGAATGGATGAAAAATCTAAAGGGTTTCAATTGTATGACGTCACATGACATCTGGAGGAACGCCACTGAGCACTTTGCATCGTGGGACATGAATCTTCAGGAGTTCAAGCTTCAAGGTTTTTGGACATCATCATCATCATCATCTCTGCTGGCTTCACCAGTTCACCAGCAAGAATCGTCTCGCCATCTCAAGCAAGCACATTATAGCATCATCCAGCGCCCAGCGGAACATCTCATCAACAGCGCCGCCGCACGCCCAACAAACCCTCAAGTCAAGTCCACAAGAAGCTTGGAGCTAGCTACATTGCAAACCCCTTGCGGCCTCACCTCTACACCATGACATACAAGTCCTCAACTCCAAACTGCTGACGGAGGCAAGTTATTTGTATGTGTCTTTGTGTCCAGTTGTACTTTTGAAATTTGACAATGTAGTGCTTACATAATTCTTATAACTGTTGTTGACAGAGGCCTCCTTGACATACCCATACTCTGCCCTCATTCTGCTCTGAGGCAATCTATGTGGACTCAAGCAATTGAACTTTGAAATGTAAATACCAACCCAGCTTTTTTGTCTATGATTAGTTTTCTCTCTGTGGCTGTAAAATTGCTCCATCAGCATAAATACTAGTGTTATTGATTTTAAGAGGAACCTTTGATCCTACTCTACCTGTTTAAGAGATTGATACCGGGGTCCACGATAGTCACCCACTGGCGCCATTGGCCATATCTTACAGAGCATAACATGTTGACTTGTACCAGGTGTAGTTTTGGATGACAGGTGTTTTTTGTGAGATGAAAAGCCTTTGTGATGTTTTCAGTAAACATTGAACATGCCTGTGTTATTCCATAATCCATATTGAGCCTGGCATTGCATCTAGTCAGAGCTTTTGCCCCCAATGACCTACATTGTAAAGTGAAACCCATGCTAGTTGCATTAGAGAGAACCAGTTTGAAGCAGATTGGATTCAATATTGACCTGCTTCTTTTCCGCTCCTTTCAACTGTAAAGGGTGATTTATCAGAGGAACCAAAAATAACCCATGTTTGCATTCTATTGGCCTCAAGTTATTACCATCGAGTCAATCAATATTGGAATTGCACTTAATTACAAATGCTAGTCCTGTCAAATGTTCTTTTGATTTCTAAATCTCACCATTTTCATTTTATGAATTGTGATACTAGCATTAATTATATTACACACTCACCTGAATGTAAAATTTTTTAAATAGTTTTTTTGTGATGTCTTTATTGTCGCTGATGATTTACATGTCCATCAATATTTTTACTAGATGTATACAATTTGTCACTAAATGTAAGTTGGTAATCTACAAAGCATAACTTCTTTTTACAAAACTTATTTACGAAATGCTTGTAACCTGCATTTGTTCATTATCTTGAAAGGTGCACTGTATAAGAGGAAGATGTAAATATTGCATTCTCTTTCACTTCTCTCCATTCTAAACTCACTTTCTTAATACATATTTATGATCTGTTTCTTCTCTTGTTTCTATTTCCTCTCGGTGTCCTTATTTTCTGTATATCTCTGTTTTCTTGGATGGATTTTTCTATGTCTTACTGAGCATTTGGAGCTAGTAGATGTATCCAAATAATTCTTCAAGCTTTAGTTGGGAAAACATCAATCATTTTGCTGCTTGATGAATGTATAACAATGTTGTAAAGTGGATATAAATGTTCTTTATAATGCTGACCCTAACCACACTCTCCTTCTCTTTTTTCCTTCTCTTTAGCAGGATCCTGAGGAACCTAGCTTGCTAATGTTCACATAAATGAGACCTGGCAATCAATTTCCCAGCTCTCTAACTTTTCTCATTTTCAAATAATGTATACGGAAGCCTTCAGAGATACTTTCCTTTAACAAAAAGAATTAAAATATTGGATAAGGATAATCATGCTAATCGTGATTTTTGTTTTCTTCTTTAAAAAAATGGTTATGTTTTATGAAACTTCGACATAACTAAACTACTCCTAGACACCTCAGATTTTGATATACATTTTTAAGAAAACAAATTGTAGGTTACAAAAGGAAATGAAAATTTCAGTTTTAAATTACCCCATAAAATTACCCCATAAAATTACCCAGGCCATACATTATTTTGTATAAGTTTTGTATTGATGATAATCAAATAAATTCCCTTCATTGTCATATTATCGACTCCATTTAATGTTTCCAATTACTAAGTATTAAATGTATCTTGTTATTTTTATAAAGTCACTTGGCTGTATTGAATAAATGTTTCACTTTTATCCTAAACCTCAATATTCTGTGTGTTTCTTGTCAACTTGTAAACACACCAGTGGAAGTAGATGTGAACAGATTGGAGAGAGATTTCAGAGAAGTTGACAGCAGTTTATGTAAAAGAGGGTTGTATGACACTTGGGTATAAAGAGCTAGGACCAGCAAAATCACTTTGTTATCACAGGTACCTTGTTATATCAGAGCACTTTATGATGGAGTGGGAGAAGTGAACAGATTCCAAAGAGAGTCGTGCAGAGTAATTGAGAGCAGTTTATGTGGAAGATAGTTGTATTAGGCAACTGCTCCAAGGCAATGCTGTACACTACACCAAAATCCTATCTTCAATGTACATATATATGTACTTGACCCTTACCTAAATACCCTATTGGAACTTGAACCTTAACCCTTACTGTACTGGGGGGGGGCCTGGGAGGCCCCCCCCCTCGACATTTTCGGAGATTGCGCCGCAACCGCTTAGAATTTTGAATTGTCGTTTCATGACTATTTTCCCCAAGTCTTACGCACATTTTGATACCATTTTCGTCGAAATCGGATATACCTGTAAGGAGTTACATAACAATTAGTATGCGCATGTCATCAAAAAAAAAAAAAAAAAAATGAAAATCGCATCAAAATTTGCATAAATTATCATTATTAATTACATTAAAATAATTTTTTTGTGTTAGAAAAGAAGTTTCATATGAATAATGAGTTTCAACAATCAAAAAGTGGAGTTTGACACGTTTTCGGTAAAATGCATAAAATTAGCGCATTTTGCATAATTAATTAGGCTAACAACAAAAATTTGCATATTCGGAAAAAACTTATTATACCATCTTGTTCCTTACGTAAATATCTACAAACATGCAAATTTTCGTGTTCATCGGACAATCGACGGCCGAGATCATAGGGGGGGGGGGGCCTCCCAGGCCCCCCCCCCCCCCCCCCCCCCCCAGTCAGTGGGTGCTCAAAATAGCCCAGTACAGTAAGGGTTAAACCTATCCATTTTATGAAATAAATCCTGAAGCTAGACCTAACACTATTGTCTAATAAACTTATACCTTTGCCAAAGTAATGTCAGGAGCTATTGTGCAGAGCATAATTATGTTGGATAACTGAATAATGCCCAAATGATGTTCGAAGATGAGAGAATGATTCCTAGAGAGTGAAGATAGATAGAATGATATTCATTGTGAGTGGATGTAGGAGAGATACATTTATGTTGAACATTGTTGATACACCCACCCCCTTTTTCCCCCTCTCTCTCTCTCTCTCCCTCCCTCCCTCTCTTTCTCTCTGTCCCTTCGATATAACAGACTGAATATGAACATGATGAAAGACCGGTTAATTTGTCAGATTCTGTATAAAAAAAGTGCAAGACAAACTTGTAAAAGGAACGTGCAGTGAAAGACAATTTTCGTACGTCTCTTGGATCATATCGTAAACAAAATTCTGCTATAACACATTTTCTATCGGGCCGATTGGTCCCCCCCCCCCTTCACAATATACTGCTAGATCCGACACCTTTGGCATGCTTTTCAGCTGTCAAACCTAGAACGCATGAAATTTTAGTCATTATTACAGACATGGAGATGGTGGGGAACAGACCCGTCGAGCTAGGGAGAGGGCATGGAAGGAGGATGTACAATGTATACTCTTTTCACGATATCCCCCTCCCTCATAGTGCTCATTAGCCCCCCCCCCCCATTAAAATGATATACATATATACATTTACCAACAAACCTCTCTATAGCGACCGCCCAAGGGAAACAAAAAAAAGTGGTACTCGGTGGAAGAAAATCTTTGCAAACACAATTCATCAAAAGGGTCAAGCTGATTATTTAAAGAGCATATTACTCAGTGGGAAAAGAACAGATGGGGTAGGGGGCAAATTGTCTACCGACCCCCCCCCCCCCCACCCCACCCACACACACACACACACACACGCTTTTTGAAGTACCCCAAAGTGCCCCTTTGAGAAGAAAGCAGACAAATCAGAGGAGAAGACTGGTGAAAGTTTTAATGAAATCGGACCCCCCCCCCCCACAAAAAAAGTTATCACTGTGGGCTCTTCAATTTTCTGAATCCGTAATGTTCGTCTCTGTAATGTATAGTGGCGGAAAACTTTCCCATTTTTGCATTCACACAAAGTGGCTAAAATGTCAATCTTTCAAAAGTGTATGACTCGTGATGGACCTTTCTCTTCAGAGGACCTCTAATATATAATAATATATTTTGAGTAGTGCCCCAAAGGAGGAGGTAGGCTACTAAGAAGAATATATATATATATTTGTACACAACAAATGGGAGAGCTATATACCTGGCTCCGTTACAATCCACGTACCAAATTGCCACTTTCGAGATTCACACTTATTTAGCGATCTCATATTTCAAATATTCGTAATTCTCTTATTATTGGTCTGATTTATTTCAAACATTCACCATTCGGTTTATATCTTATTTGTCTGCTTTCATACAAATGAACCTACAGTAAAAGGGTACTTGAATTGCACTTGAAACGGTGAGATAATTAATGTCATTACGTGCATGTTGCTAGTAATTAAGGGCGATAACGAATCATGTTCATAGGTTGATGACAGATACCATGAGTGTATGCAGTGTGTATATATGTAAAGTTATCAAGATACAATCGCATTATTTGATTGACATCCAAACCAAAGTCGAGTATCAACGGTAGGCGTGTCGCTTGTGACCTTGTTTGTTCGGCCAATATCGCTCTTAATTATGTGTGCTGATCTTGCAAAAAGAATCAAAGTATTATATTTATAGAATTAATGTTTCGGAGAGCTCACATTTGTGCTTAATGATGAATGTTTTTTTTTTTAATCGTCCCCTTATCTGAATTTGTTAACTTGATGACACAATATGAATCCTATTAATTGTCTTACTTGGGCACTAAAGTCTTGGTAGCTTGCCAGTATGCTTTGACGATCCAGTAGCGGTCCTAGAGGGGGCTTGGGGAGGGATTCGAAACCCGCCTCCCATAAAGAAGAAAAGAAATTGCGAGGCTAATGCAAGAACCCCAATCAGTCGTCAAATCCCCCTCCATATATATTATAATTTATAATATATCTATAAATACATTATATATATATATATATATATATATATATATATATATATATATATATATATATATATATATATATATATATATATAGTCATTCTGGCGACGTCACTCCCTTTCAAAATCAATCGACACCCGAGTATATCTCTAATCGTGGATTTGGGGGCAGCATAACCACATGTGCCCCATCTTTCGTTTTCCAATTTTCGACCCAAAACATATGTTTAAGAAACACTTTTAAGTACATGTAATTTCAAACAATCTCACAATTTTGTTAACTTTGTCGAGAGTTTAATTTTAACAATAGGGCGATATCTGACCACCCTTTTTGTGTAACTTTGTTCCACCCAGAATATAGCTCCATTTCTCGATACACACCCGATTATCTCGGTCTTAAAAAAAAACATACACCATCCCTGGGGCATACGTAGCATATACACTCAAAATAAAAAGCTGGACTTTGAAGTCTGTCCGCCCGGACTTGGTTAAAACCAGCCATCCTCACCACTCATTGGTGCCTCGTAATAAACTCATAAAAATATGAAGTTCACGAACTGCCGCGAAACCGTGACTAATAACAAAAAACACGAGAGAGCAAAGCAGATCATATATTTTGTTTGTCTTGGCAAAAGGCCTACAATGCAGCGTTCTTTTTGTTATTATATTCTTTCAAATATCTCCTTAAGGAGTTCGTGAGAGTAGCGCTCTCCAGCTTTCCTTTTCTTTCATCTTGAAATCAAGGTAAACTATTAAATATTCTTTTTAATAACAATATATCAGGTCATTTGTATTCAAAATAAATTTACGGGTATTGATTTTCTTTTATGAGAGAAAGGAGAGTTTATTAAATCCAGTGAGTATTGGTTTGATCAAAGAACTTATTAATCACAGAATTTCACATAATCACATTATGTGTAGAGTAGAATTATTGGGTAGAAGAATTAGTCCTATTCACATTCGGGTAGTGGACACCTGAGTATAATTGACAAAATGAGTTGGATGATTTTTATTCGTTTGTTTTACTTGACTGCTAAGAAAGCATATATGCATGCTTGTACTGAATTAAGCAACTTTAGGGGACCGACGTTCTCGAACGGAAAGTTTGATTACATGCAATGTTGATATGAACCCGATGACGTGCATTCAAACTTTTAAAAAGTGTGTTGGTCACAATAACCATTTTGCAATGGGAATATGTAATTCCTTACGAAGAGTTTTATTTCGAGAAGTACGTCAGTGATTACAGTCATATTTGTCTGTTTGTGCCTTTGTGATTATTTTTGTTCTTATTTCCCTTGTGAAACATGTTTAATTTGTGCTGTCGTATTCAATATTGGTATTTCTGTATTTTTGTATTTCTTATTCATTGCTATCTAGAAACGACGCTTTACTTGTTTTATTTTTGTAGCTGAAAATTACATAAATAATTCACTGATTATGAAATTATAACTTGCATGAATAATTCATCTTGGGTATAAAAATTGAGAAAAGCAGGCAGCATTTTTTTTAAAAAGTATATAGGTGTATGCATAATAAAACAGGTACACGAATGTGACGAAATTGCTATTGAGAGGAAACATCGCATGGCAATATCCATCTTCTTATTCTTTGTTCAATTGCTGAGAACGGAATACTTTACACCGTTTTATGGCGAGATGAGGCGGGAGAGGTAAAAAAAAAAAAAAAAAAAAAAGTATAGAGGGTATGAAAGGTGAAAATATACGACCCCTATCAACATCTCCTCACTCGATTGCTCTGTTCTTACAATCCATGTGCTCTATTTAGTGAATCGTCGGAGCTCCCTCCCCTGCTTTCAGTGCCCCCTCATTTAATGGTGTCATACTAGTTACTACCCCAATGCATAATTATCTGCATTACTATTAAAAAAAGAAAAAAAGTAGGAGAACTGTATCTTAGATGAAAAATA